CTGACTTTTTCCGCTTGACTCATACCTATACTAGATATTGCAAATAAGGGAAACCATGGGACCTATGTTTCTTTGGGCCTGGCTTACTTCACTTAATATAATTTTTTCCAAGCCTTTCCATTTCCTAACAAATGGGGCAATGTCATTCTTTCTGATGGAGGCATAGAATTCCATTGTGTATATATACCACATTTTCTTGATCCATTCATCTACTGAGGGGCATCTGGGTTGGTTCCATATCTTAGCTATGGTAAATAATGCTGCAATAAACTTAGTTGTGCTGGTAGCTTTAGTGTGGTCTTTTTTGTAAACATTAGGGTAAATGCCCAAAAGTGGGATTGCTGAGTCATAGGGGAGTTCTATGTGAAGTCTTTTGAGGAACCTCCATACTGCTTTCCAAAGTGGTTGAACAAGTTTACATTCCCACCAACAATGAAGTAAGGTTCCTTTCTGTCCACATCCCCTCCAGCATCTGTTGTTGTTAGAGTTCTTGATTTTTGCTGTTCTAACTGGAGTGAGGTGATATCTCAATGTTGTTTTGATTTGCATTTCTTTTATGGCTAGGGAGGTTGAACATTTCTTCATGTGTCTATTGGCCATCTTTCTTTCTTCTTCAGAGAAGCTTCTCTTTAAGTCTTTCACCCACTTACTTATTGGGCAGTTGTTTCTTTGAGGATTTGTTGTTGGGTGGTTCAATTTTTTGAGTTCCAAGTATATTTTAGATATGAGACCCTTGTCTGTTGTATGGCTAGTAAAGATCTTCTCCCAATCCGTGGGCTTTCTATTGATCTTGCTAGCTATGTCATTTGCCCTGCAGAAGCTCTGCAACCTTATGCAATCCCATTTGTCCAACCTTTCTTTGATTTGTTGTGTATTCAGAAAATTTCGGCCTGAGCCAAGGAGACCTAGGGTTTCTCCTATTCCATCCTGTAATGTTTTCAGAGTGTCTGCTTTGAGTTCAAGGTCTTTGATCCATTTGGAGTTGATTCTGGTGCAGGGTGATATATAAGGATCTAGCTTTAGTTTTCTACACGTAGTTAACCAGTTTTGCCAGCACCATTTACTGAAGAGGCTGTCTTTGTTCCATTCTATTGTTTTAGCTCCCTTATCGAAGATTAGATGGCTATAGGTCTGTAGGTTCATTTCTGGGTTTTCAATTCTATTCCATTGGTCCTGAGGTCTGTTCTTATGCCAATACCAAGCTGTTTTGATTACTATGGCTTTATAGTAGAGTTTGAAATTTGGTATTGATATTCCTCCAGCAGTGTTCTTTGCGTTGAGGAGCGTTTTTGCTATTCGGGGTCTTTTATTGTTCCATATGAATTTTTGGATTGCCTCTTCTATTTCCTTGAAGAATGAGGTTGGAATTTGGATAGGTATTGCGTTGAATTTGTAGATAGCCTTGGGAAGTATTGCCATTTTCACGATGTTAATCTTTCCAATCCAGGAGCATGGGAGGTTTTGCCATTTTTTAAGTTCTGTGTTGATTTCCTTTTTCAAGATTTTAAAGTTTTCATCATAGAGGTCCTTCACTTCTTTGGTTAAGTTAATTCCTAGGTATTTTATTTTTTGTGGGGCTATTACAAATGGAGTTGCTTTCCTAATTTCAGCCACACTTTTCTCATTGTTGGCATACAGAAAGGCCATTGATTTTGGGGGGTTAATTTGATACCCTGCTACTTTGCCAAAGTTTTGAATCAGCTTGAGTAATTTGGGAGTGGAGTCTATGGGATTCTTTAAATACAAGATCATGTCGTCTGCAAAGAGGGAGAGTTTTATTTCTTCTTTCCCTATTTGGATCCCCTTTATGTCTGCATCTTGTCTTATTGCTGTAGCTAGGCATTCTAATACTAGATTGAAGAGAAGTGGAGAGAGTGGGCATCCTTGTCTTGTTCCTGAGTTAAGGGGAAATGGCTTTAGTTTTTAACCATTGAGTATAATGCTGGCTGTAGGTTTGTCATATACAGCCTTTATTGTATTGAGGAATGTTCCATGGATTCCTAATTTTTCCAAAACCTTCATCATAAAGGGGTGTTGGATCTTGTCGAATGCTTTTTCTGCGTCTATTGAGATAATCATGTGGTTCTTATTCTTGCTCCTGTTGATGTGATGAATAATATTAATTGATTTGCGTATATTGAACCAGCTTTGCATCCCTGAAATGAATCCTGTTTGATCGTGGTGTATGATTTTTTGGATGAATTGTTGAAGTCGATTGGCCAAAATTTTGTTGAGAAGTTTTGCATCAATGTTCATCAAAGAAATGGGTCTATAGTTCTCTTTCTTTGATGAGTCCCTGCCTGGTTTTGGGATGAGGGTTATGATGGCTTCATAGAATGTGTTCGGTAGTGAGCTTTCTCTTTCAATTTCATTGAAGAGTTGGAGGAGAATTGGTGTGAGCTCTGCTTTGAAGGCCTTGTAAAATTCTGCTGTAAAACCATCTGGTCCTGGACTTTTCTTAGCTGGGGGGTCTCTTATTGCTGTTTCTATTTCAATGCTTGATATGGGCCTGTTAAGATAGTTTAACTCATCTTGGTTTAGTTTTGGCATGTCAATATTTGCTAGGAAGAGGTCCATTTCTGTCAAGTTCTCAAACTTATTAGCATAAAGTTTTGAGAAGTATTCCCTTATAATGTTCTGAATCTTGGTTGTTTCCGTGGTGATGTTTCCATTCTCATCTCTGAGTTTATTAATTTGGGTGTGTTCTCTTCTTTTTCTGATAAGATTTGCTAAGGGTCTGTCAATTTTGTTAAGTTTTTCGAAGAACCAACTCTTTGTTTTGTTGATTCTTTCTATAGTTTTTTTGGATTCTAATTCATTTAATTCTGATTTAATTTTGATTATTTCTTTCCATCTACTGGATTGGGGTTTATCTTGCTGCTCTTTTTCAAGGAGGTTTAGATGTGTCATTAAATTGTTAGTTTCAGATCTCTCCAATTTGTTGATGTAGGAGCTCAGAGCTATAAACTTGCCTCTGAGTACTGCCTTTGCTGTGTCCCAGAGGAGCTGGTATTTTGTGTGTTCATTTTTGTTGAATAGCATGAACATTTGAATTTCCTTTCTAATCTCTTCCATGACCCACTCATGATTTAGCAGTGTGTTGTTCAGCCTCCATGTGATACCGGACTTTCTTTGGTGGCTTTTGGTGTTGAGTTCTAATTTTATTCCCTTGTGGTCAGTAAAAAATTTTTTTGTAATTAAAATTGTTCTTTTACATTTACATTTTAGAAGGTATTTCTGAAGATCCTTGTAGAGTGGCCAAACACAAAAGATAAAAATTAGGATCCAGATTCAATATGATAAAGAGCTGGAATAATATTATATTTCAATAATGGAGAAAGAAGCAAAGGAGAAGAATGAAAAAGATTTAACAATTAGTAGATTCTTATTCTTGGGCAAACTGATATAAGGAAATATCCTCTAGTGGAATGGAGATGAGTTCTCGCTTTTTGAAACTTTGAGGCTAGGCCAAAAATGAATATGTAAATAGTTACAGTGTAAAACAATTATTAATAAACAACCTCTCTTTAAGAACAAAACTGACAGAAATGGTGCTGTGGCTTAGTAGTAACCTTGAGCAGAAAGAGCTCAGGGACAGTGCCCAGGCTCTGAGTTCAAGCCCCATGACTGACCAAAAAAAAAAAAAAAAAGAACAAAACTGACTATGGAGTACTTTAAAATACAGATGTCTAACTTCAGTAAACATGTTTACATGTCCAACATGTAAAGTCATCATGATTGTCCTCACAATAAGAAAAATCTGAACAAACTTAACAAGTCTTGGATCCATGAAGAATTGTGGTAGTAGGGTAACTCCTACCCTTAAAACTGGAGAGACAGGCAGAAACAGAATCACATCTTACTAAGAACAGAAGCCAGCAGCTATAGCCAATATTGTAGGAACACTGGGAGCTAATTGATGATTTGCTGGTGGCTGAATGAAGTTTGAGTGTTAAAAACTTTGAGGAAGCTGGGTGCCAGTGGCTCATGCCTATGATCCTAGCTGCGCAGGAGGCTGAGATCTGAAGATCGTGGCTTGATGCCAGCCAAAGCAGGAAAGTCCATGTGACTCATTTCCATTTAACCACCAGAAAACCGCAAGTGGAGCTGTGGTAGAATGCAAGCCTTTAGTAAAAGAGCTCAGGGACAGCACCCAGGCAGAGTTCAAGCCTCATGACCTACCAAAAGAAAAAAAAGGAAAAAAAAAAAAAAGATGCACTTCATTTTCCCCTTTCTTTTCTCTTTCCTCTCTCCTTCCCTCCTTCCCTCCCTCCCTCCCTCTCTTCTTCCCTCCTTCCTTTCCTTCCTTCCTTCCTTCCTTCCTTCCTTCCTTCCCTTCCTTCCCTTCCTCCCTCCTTCTCCTCTCTCTTTTCCTGGTTTGAGATTTCAACTAAATGCCTTGCACTCACTTAGCTTTCTTGCTTGCTGGTGCTCTACCACTTCAGGTACACTTACATATACTTCCAGCCTTACTTTTATTGGTGATTTTTGGAGACTGAATTTGGTTGGGTGCTTAGCTCCTTGGGAGTATGGTGTCTCCAAACCCTTAGCTAATCTGCTGCACATGAAAGTATACTTGCAGTTCTGATTACAAACTCTTGTGATGACTTTAAGGTTCTCAGTTCTTAACTCTCAAGCTCCCAAATATTCCCCACTTAATGTGCTATATTCTCTACTTCCCAGGCCTCTGCCAATTTATAGTTTATTGTTCTCTGGATTGCTGTTGTTACATTGTATGTTACATTCTGTGTGGTATGTTTATAACTTCTCATTGACACTGTTTGGGAAGGTTATCCTTGGAAATTTCATTTAATACTAAAGAACTTCCTCTTAAGACATGACTCAGAGATGTATTGTCAAATTCCTCAGGCCTAAAAAAAGTATGCTGTAATCCCTACTTCATTTTATTGCAGTAAATAGGTAACTTTATGTGGATAATTATAAGATATTAAAGATAAAGTATTTGTAATAGTCACCTAACTAATTGCTTTCTTTTTTAGGTTTGTATTTATTATGGGATCTTCAGTTTTTCTATCAATGACTACTATATTGCAACGGGGATGTTCAAAACTCAGATTGCTGGGGAAAATTACATGGAGGAGTTTCCTATTAATTTGCATAGGAATTTTCATTGTGAACCCCAATTATTGCCTTGGTCCCTGTAAGTATTTCCACTCTTTGTTAGTTTATAATGAGATTGAAATCTGTAAAATACTCCGTGTGTGTGTGTGTGTGTGTGTGTGTGTGTGTGTGTGTGTGTGTGTGTATTATGTGTGGGTAGATACTTGAGACAAAAGCTAGAACTTTGCACGTGTTAAACCCTCTGCCATTGAGTTATACCCCAGGTACAGTTTATTATAATTTGAAAGAAATGTAAATCCTCTATTATTAGAAATGCTTGTGCATTATGTCCAAGTATTAGCTCAATGATTTGGGGCATTATTTTATTGCCTTAGAATTTTAGAACTGGGAAGAGCCTCTGTGACTATTCAGACTTTCCCTGTGGTATGAAAGAAAAATCAGGCCTAGAGAGGTTGAATTTTTTTTTTTTTTCTGAGACATGTACATGTCTCAGAGAGAGCATACTTGGCCAAATCACCTTGTTCTGAGACCTTTCTCTCTCGACATTTTGGTTTCATTGACCTTTCTAAGTTGGCTAGTAGTTTAAGAATTCACTTCTTTTATTACCTTTATGCCAGCTATATTGCTGGAAAGGATATTTGTCACTATTTAAATTGTAGGCAGTGAGTCAGGACAGTTGAGAGAAGGATGTAAATGCTTTGTAACAGTATTAGGATTAAGGAAGTCAGTCAGGCTTACTCTGTCATTGACAAAAGAGGATCTTTTGAGAAAACCTGCTTTGACTAAATACTTAAGGCACTAAGAAGAAAAAATAGTCACTTCTACTTGTGGCACATAAAGTTGGATCTGAGCCGAGCGCCAGTGGCTCATGCCTGTAATCCTAGCTACTGAGGAGGCTGAGATCTGAGGATCACAGTTCAAAGCCAGCCCGGGCAGAAAAGTTCATGAGACTCTTTATCTCCAATAAACCACTAGAAAACCGGAAGTGGTGCTGTGGCTCAAGTGGTAGAGCACTTACCTTGAGCTGAAGAGCGCAGGATTAGCACCCAAGCCCAGAGTTCAAGCCCCACGACCGACAAAAAAAAAAAAAAAAAAAAATGTTGGATTTGATAGATTTCTCAGAAAATGAGCCATTGTCCCTGTAGATTTCTTTGTAGGGTTTGCTAGAGTATTATCTATTTTTAGTGATGCAGTTGTGTAGCCTGTAGAGCAGAGTGAATGAGTTGGTGACTTGTGTTGGTTTACAAGTTGCTGGTGGGCATGTTGTTGATTGTGTCTATATTCCTGAGAGGAAGAGGAAGAGGCCAGGAAATGGAATTCAGGGGAAGTAGGGGATAATGTCCTTGTCTTATCTCCATACCTGAGAAAGATACTTTTACTTTTAGTCTCCTTATTAGAGAGTGGGATTGATCTGTTCTTTAAACCTGGGTTTCATCCTTGTCTCCTGACCATGTTTATTTCCATCTCCAAAGATATAAAGTAACAAGTACATTTGTGTGTAATATAAGTATTTGTTACCCTTCAAACAATGTATTGCCTTGGAATAAGATGTGAAGTGATGTCTAATGCCTTACCTAACTGTATCTTCTGCAGTATCATGGGATAAGATGAGAATTCCTGGTGTTCTACAAAGGTTGGGAATGACTTATTTTGTGGTTGCTGTGTTGGAGCTCCTCTTTGCTAAACCTGTACCTGAAAATTATGCCTTGGTGAGAAATTATATTTTGTAAAAATGAGAGAGGAAAAAAATTGACTATAAAGTTACCAGAATTTTTTCAGTTCTGAATGTAATACTGTAGTTTCCTTTTCTTTTTGTGCTTGTCCTATGCTTTTAACTCAAGGCCTGGGCACTATTCATGAGTTTTCTTGCTCAAAGCTAGCACTCTACCACTTGACCCACAGCTTCACTTTTGGCTTTTTGATGGTTAGTTGGAAAGATGAATTTCCTGTCTGGGCTGTCTTCGAGCTGTGATCTTCAGATCTCAGCATTCTAAGTACTAGAATTATAGGTGTGTGCCATTAATATTAATATTTTAATATTTTCTGGTTTATAACTTCTAGTTTGCTTTCTTTCTAATTTTTGCTACAGTATTTTGTAAAAATAGAAATCAGATATCATACAAACCATATAAATTTTTGAATTACAATGATAAATTTTAACAAAATAATCACTGGGTATTTTCTAACCAGTATACTGAATTTTAGTCCCATTTTGTTTGCATTTAATTTATGTATTTTTTTCCATGCCCCTAACTCAGGAGAGAACTTACTCTTCTCTTCAAGACATTACTTCTAGCTGGCCTCAGTGGCTTTTCATTCTGATATTGGAAAGTGTTTGGCTGGGAATAACCTTCTTATTACCTGTCCCTGGGTGCCCCATGTAAGTGAACCTAAGACATGTAATTCCTTTTGCATGTCTCTTTCTGCCAAGTCAGAGGTTATGAGGGGTCTAAAGCCTTCAGATTTCTCCTTTTATTCTTTTTCTTTGTGGTGTCCTTTGCATTGGGAGAGGAGTTTGGTATTGTCTGAGTCAATCTGAGTATAAATTGGGCCTCTTGTCTTACTAATGAAGGAGAAATTGCAGTCATGAGAGTGAAAGGAGCCAGAAGGATTTTTTTTTTGTCAGAAAGTTTTTTTTAATTTATTTTTTCTTTATTTTAAATTGTTAAAATATACTAATTCTAATCTAAATTGTTGACAGTAATACATATATTTGAATTTTTAAAATTGTTACTGTAAAGCTGATGTACAGATAGGTTACAGATAGAGTACATATTTTTTTCTTATTTTTAACTAAGGTTTTTAATTGGCATGTATTCATTTTACAAAGGAAGTTTTACATTTCTATGCACAAATCAATCTTACCTCTATTACTCTCTTTCATCTTCCCTTTTGCTTTTTCACACAATTTCAATATGTTTGATCTATTTTCCGTTCTTATATAAGAATGCCTGTCTTTTTGGACAATGTTATGTTTTCCCTAGCTTTCTCCCAGTTTTTCCCTCTTGTACCCACCCACAAGTTTTGGAGTTCATTTTCAACATAATATCCAGTGAGTATCACTACTGCATGTTTTTACCCTTTGTCCCACCATTTTTTTTTTTTAAACTTTTTTTTTGGTCGGTTGTGGGGCTTGAACTCTGGGCTTGGGTGCTTTCCCTCAGCTCTTCAGCTCACGGCGAGCACTCTAGCACTTGAGCCACAGCACCACTATTGTCCCACCATTTTTGTATCATCCACTTAACACTCCCAAAGACAAATAAGAAAAAAGAAAAAGAAAAGCAAAAGCAGCAACAAAGAAAAAAACCTATTGTTTCCATTTCCTAGAGCACATTTTGATAAATATTATTTTATATGGTCAGTTGCCCATAGCGGTTGCACATCAATAAACCTCTCCTAAGAATATCCTCATTTGGTCTCTCTCTGTGTGATGCCTGGAGACCTGTATAATATATCATGTCCAAGTGTGTTTTGTTTTTACTTTGTGTATGTTTGAGGTTCTTTGGGTTGGGCCATTAATATGTTCTTTATTTTCCTAGTGGGTATCTTGGCCCTGGAGGCATTGGAGACTTGGGGAAGTATTCAAATTGCACTGGAGGAGCTGCTGGCTACATTGACCGCTTGCTTTTGGGACATGATCATCTTTACCAACACCCATCCTCCACTGTGAGTGAGACTGACTTTTACTTAGAAGAGGAAGTTTAGATAGAGAGAGGGGGGAAAACCCTGATCAATTTTGATGTATGTTCATTTAGCAGAATGTTATGGGAAATAAGTTTTACTTGGAAACATGGCTACTAACTTTAGTATTCATCACTAAACAACATTGCTTTGGATAATAAAGTAGAATGCATCATATAAAATGAGCACAAATTTAGAATGTTTCTGTACGTCAAGTAACTCTAGGCAGCAGATTCTGTGTGCAGAGCACACAGCAGGGAGTTCTTGTTGGATTAGTTACTGTTGGGGAGTGGCACTTCAGATCTACTTTGCAGTTGAGGAGAGGTTACTGACCCAAGACCATCCAGAAGTGCTATTTGGGTGTATGCTTTTGCTATTTTCTATTTTTAGCAGTTGGAGGAATGAACGCTTCATTCTTGAAAGGGTTATGGGGGTCTGGATGCTGTATTGGAGCATTTACACTCCTACAGTTTTAACATTTGTATTTTTCTCTAGTTTATTTGAATGTTAGGAACTAAGCCATGGGCTTTGTACATGCTAAATATGTGCTCAACACTGAGCTATACTTTTATTCAAAATGTATTTGAAATGTTATTTGCTTGAAAATAAGAAATCATTGCTTAGAATAGAGCTGACCAAAACAGAATATATGATTATAGAGACATTATGCAATGTATTTAAAATTGTTTGGACTTTGGGCTCAGCACTGTTAGCTAAGATAGCTGCAATTGAAGTGGCTGCTGATAGATGGTGGCTTATTCCTGGGGCTCTACATTTTCTGTACATGCTACACCTTTTATGGTGAGAAGTATTTTACCTGTGATCCTCATATGCTGGCAATGAAGTTCTATAGAAGAAGCAAACTACAAAACAAAAGAAAAAAACAAAGCACTAAATATGTAATCTATTTAAATTTGCATTCAATCTGAGTTCCTTTGTTCATGTGTGTGGTTAGTGATTGCTGCCTTCTTGTTCTTTCATTAAGGTGCTTTATCACACTGAGGTGGCCTATGATCCGGAAGGAATCTTAGGGACCATAAACTCCATTATGATGGCATTTTTAGGAGTTCAGGTATTTGTTCATTTCATCAATATGCATTTTCTTGACAGTTTGTGATTATTGATTTATGACCAATTAAAAAACTATTTCATTAAAACAGTCAGAAGTATGTCCTCTTTAGTTATAAAAAATTCTGTTTAGGTTCAGCAGATTGTGCAAATCTAGAAATTCCTAGAATTCAGCACAGTCAAACAATTAGATGCAATTATTACATTAATAAAAATTGTTTTTGGTAGGACTAGGGTCTGAACTCCACGCTTCATGAGGCTTACTAGGCAGGAACTCTATGTCTTAGCCACATCTCTAGTTTGCATGTGTGCTATTTATTTTTGAGATAATGTCTTGCTTCCTATTTGAGTGCATGTCTCAACTGTAGTCCTTGTGTGTGTATGTGTGTGTGTGTGTTTTGTTTTGTGTTTTATTTTGTCCATCTTGGAGCTTGAACTCAGAGCCTGGGAGCTGTTTCTGAGCTGTTTTTGTTCACCACTTGAGCCATAGCTCTAGTTCTGTCTTTTTGGTGGTTAATTGGACATAAGAGTCTCACAGACTTTTCTTCTTGGGCTGGCTTCAAACTATGATCCTCAGATCTCAGCCTCCTGAGTAGCTAGGAATACATGTGCCTGGCAGTCCTCTTGTTTTTTGTTTCCCACTGTATCTAGATGACAAGTATGTGCTATCTGATTCAGCTTCTGTTGAGATGGAGTCTTGTGGACTTTTCTTCCTGTGCCGGCCTTGAACCAATAGCCTCCTTGTTTCAGCCTCCTAAATAGATTACAGGCATGAACTATCAATGTCCAGCTCTATTAAAAAATAATTACGTGATGTATTTTAGCTGAGCAGTTTCTGGATAAAGGTTTTCACCAGATAGGTATGATGGTGTACCTCTGATTCACCTATAATCTGCATTCTTGGCAGACTGAGGTATAAGAGTGTTGAGTTTGAGGTCAGCATGGTTTCTAAAAAAAAATTTTTTTTTTTTTTGAGATACTGTCACAAACAAGCAAGCAGGTGAATGAATGAACAAATAAACAAAATCTCTGCTGGAGGTAGCAGTGTTTGGATATTGGTAGCTGTGGAAACTTACCATATTTCTTGTCTCTATATTTTTCATATGCATTTGTTTTAGTGTGTTTGTGCTACTGTGACAAATTACCTGAGGCCAGGAATTTTTAAAAGTGGAAATATATTCCTCATAGTTCTGTAGATTAGGAAATCCAAGATCAAGGTTGTAGGAAGTTTGTTGCCATGTGAGCATGTAGTCTCTGCTTCCAAGATGGCAACTGGAATGCTCATTCTCTGGAAAGGAGGAGTGTTGTGTTCTTACATAGTAAAAGGTGAAAGGGCAAAGATACTAGACTTGCTGTCTCAAGCTCTCTATCAGGGCATAAAATGTGTTCAGGAGGGCATAGCCTGTTATGTAATAATCATATCCCAGAGGATTCTGGTACCATCACCTTGGTGATTAGGTAATACATTGTAGAGGGACACAGACATGGCTTCAGTATTCATATTTTATGCCACAATCAATACTGGTTAATCTTGGTGTGTCTTGGGTATAACTTTGTTATTTTTCTTCCCAAAGTTCTCATTAGTGTTTGAAACTGTTTAGAGAAGTAAACGGGGAGGGGACGGGGAAGACATGTATAGTAGTATTCATAGAATTTTCTGTGATGATGATGAGAGTATCCATTTTATCCATTAGGCACCAACTAGCAAGGATAGCTCTTGAGTACTTGAATGTGGCTATTGTATGAGTGAGGAATTTTTAATTTTACTTGATTTAGAACAGATTTAAGGCATATACATTTTGATGATGAATTTTTAAAGTTAGAAATCTTGCCTTTATAGCACTTGATATTCTATATTCTGTTTTTATGTATATTCATATTTTTGCCAGTCTAGAGTAGAGGTTGAGAAAGACACCCGGATCTATACTGCCAAAGTTTGAATCTCACTCTGTCACTTACTGGCTTGGAGACTTCAGGCATGTTACTTGACTTCTCTTTGCCTTACTAGCACCTTAGAAGGATTAAATAGATTTTAATTTATATGAAGTTTTAAGTATTAGTACATACATTCAAAATTGTAACTATTTCCATAAATTATTATTATTATTGTTAACCTTTTATAACTTCAAAAATGAATCCATAATTTCAGTGGGATTTCACTCAACACCTTGGTTTAGGTTTTTATGGGCAGTTCCAGTCTGCCTCTATGCCTCTTCCATACAGCTGCCAGGCTGAGACCTTTAAGGCCAGAGGTGAGATGGCCTTAAAAGGCAATTTTCCTTGAGGGGAAATTTTCCTTGGCTCCCATCATTTTTTTTAATGTTTTTTATTGTGGAAATACTGTACAGAGTGGTTATAGTTACATGAGCAAGGTAATGAGTACATTTCTTATCAAGCATTGTTGCCTCCTCCTTTGTTTTTCCCCTTCCATCCCTTCCCTCCCACCATCTCAACTACACCCCCCCCCCATCACTTTTAGAAGGAAGACCTCACATGAAATGAGACCTAGTGAGCCTACCTGCCTACCACCTTTACATCACGTCCCTATCCTACAGCTTCTATACCTCCTCAGCACAACAAGGTGCTATGGTGCCTTTAACTTTTGGACATGCTTCTGTGCAGTTCCATTCTGCTCAGAATGCCCTTCCACTTTGACCATCCATGCTTGTAGCTCTCTGATATATCCCTACTTTTCTAAGCAAATACTCCAGCTCATCAATCCATATTTCTCCCTTAATCTACATTAATCAAAGGCAAGTATAAGTTATTATATCTCTTTGTATCCAGTAAATGATTGTTGAGTGATTAGGATGATGGATGAATGAGATATAAGAATATGTCCTGGTATTTTTTTTAGTCATGTTATTTTCTTCTTCAGGCAGGAAAAATATTATTGTATTATAAGGATCAGACCAAAAGCATCCTCATTAGATTCACTGCATGGTGTTGTATTCTAGTAAGTAACTTCTCACTAAGATTTCTTTTCTCACTCTATAGATTTAAGAAGAAATAAAATAGCAGCAGCGCTTGTATATAGCAGACATTACCATTGATATGATAGGAAATGTTTTTTACACTGAATATCAGAGAGGAATAAGTCTTAGAAGGATGTGTGTGTGTGCATGCATGCTGGGGGTGGAAGCCAGCAATTCATGTATGCAAAACATGCATTCTGTCACTGCTCCAAGGAAGAAAACCTTAAATAGGACGTTATTTGGCATACATTGGAATGAGGAATGCCTCAAAAAGTGTGGATTCTGAATGGGAAAGTTTATTAGAAAAACTAAATAACATTTTTAAAGAACAACCTCAGATTTATATATAAAACATGATTCTAAGTTTGGCCAATTCTTAATTTTAGCTTTAACTTTGTAATTTTGTTTTCTTTTGGGGTTCGCTATAACTTATTAATTAATTAGTCTTCTTTACCTCAGAGGAATTCTGAGAATATATTTTAGTTACACATGTTAAAATGCATTTCAGTCGTCACTAAGAAATTAAGTAACTTTTGGCTTTGAAACACAATTATGCTTTGGGATTATAGTATAGAACTTTAACATCTTTCTCTTCCCCATTATAGGGGCTTATTTCTGTTGCTTTGACAAAAGTTTCTGCAAACGAAGGCTTTATTCCAATAAACAAAAATCTTTGGTAAGCATAGAAAAACAGTATCATGTTAAATAGTGATGGTTCTCATGTTGATGTTGGCCATGTTCCTCATGAGCCCTACAATCTCTCCTTCCTCAACTTCTTGCAGGTCCATTTCATATATCACCACATTGAGCTCTTTTGCATTCTTCATCCTCCTGGTGCTCTATCCTGTTGTTGATGTGAGGGGACTGTGGACAGGAGCCCCATTTGTTTATCCAGGTAAGTCACTTTTAACTTAGGCAGAATTGGTGATGGAGGCCTAGTGATCTACATAGATCTACTGAGCTTCTGTAGTGTTGTAGCCTTGAGCTCGTGCACAGGTGGCATCTTTCTAGGAACAAGCTGAATGAAAGAGTGGCTGTGTTGTCTCAACACACAGGTGTGCTCTAAAGCAATCCACTTTGTTTTTATTTTATTTTATTTTTTTTGGGTCCAGTTGTGGGGCCTGAATTCTGGGCCTGGGCGCTGTCCCTCAGCTCTTCAGCTCAAGGCTAGCGCTCTACCACTTGAGCCACAGCGCCACTTCCGGCTTTTTTCTTTTTGCTTATGTGGTGCTGAGGAATCGAACCCAGGGCCTCAGGCATGCAAGGCAAGAGCTCTACCACTGAGCCACCTTCCCAGCCCCTAAAGCAATCCACTTTGTGTGCGTGTGTGCGCGCGTGCGCGCGCAGCTTGAATTCGGGATCTAGGCACTGTCCCTCAGCTTGTTGCTGTTGTTGTTGCTGCTCAAGGCTAGTGCTCTACCATTGTGTCGTGTGCGCGTGCGCGCGCAGCTTGAATTCGGGACCTAGGCACTGTCCCTCAGCTTGTTGCTGCTGTTGTTGCTGCTCAAGGCTAGCGCTCTGCCACTGTGTCGTGGCTCCACTTCAGCTTTTTGGTGGTTAATTGGCAATAAGAATCTCATTGACAAAAAAAAAAAAAATCTCATTGACTTTCCTGCCTGGGTTGGCTTTGAACCACCATCCTCAGATGTTAGGCTTCTGAGAAGCTAGGATTACAGATGTATTCCACCAGTGCCCAGCTTCCACCCCATTTTTATCCCTTTAGGTTCCCCAGTCATTGTATTCATGAGCTCAACTTTCTTCTTTAGGCAATACCATTTTTTAACATTTTTAGGTTTTTAACTAACAAATGAGACTTCCCATTTCTCAATACAAAGGTACTACTTTAAAGTTTATGCATAAGAAATATTATATTTTGTATTTATAATGTATTTTTAAGAAATGTATTTATAAACTGATTTGTTAAGCAGTAACTCCTTTGTACAACTACTTGAAGGTAATAAAAATACAATTAAAAAATAAAAAGATCATATCAAGGTTTAAATGGAATGGTTTAGATGCAATTCTAAAGGACTAAGAGAGTAGTATATCATTTCAATAACTCATTATAGCTCTTTAAGTTTAGTAATAAGTTACATCTTTGGACCTCACATTTTCTGTCTAGAAACTATGAGTAAAAGTTGTAATCTGGGCTGGGAAGGTGGCTCAGTGGTAGAGTGCTTGCCTTGCATGCATGAGGCCCTGGGTTCGATTCCTCAGCACCACATAAGAAAAAAGAAAAAAGCTGGAAGTGGCGCTGTGGCTCAAGTGGTAGAGCGCTAGCCTTGAGCTGAAGGGCTGAGGGACAGCGCCCAGGCTGAGTTCAGGCCTCATGACCGGACCCCCCCCCCCCAAAAAAAAAAAGTTGTAATCTTCCAGCTGGGTGCCAGTGGCTCATGCCTGTAATCCTTGTTTACTCAGAAGGCTGAGAAATGAGGATCATGGTCTGAGCAGGAAAGTCTGTGAACTCTTATCTCCAATTAACCATGGGAAAACCAGAAGCAGTCCTGTGGCTCAAGTGGTAGAGCACTAGCCTTGAGCTAAAGAGCTCAGGGACAGCGCCCAGGCCCAGAGTTCAGGCCCCATGAACAACAACAACAAAAAAAAGTAATATTCCTTTCTAATTTATTGGGATGGGACTGCTTTCAGTGATAGAACATGTATGTTGCATGCACAAAGACCTAGATTTGAAAGCACCACAAAAGCCCATTTGTAGATGAATATTTTTTAAAATAGTTTAAGAATACTGGGGCTGGGGGTGAGTGCCAGCCTTTGAGAATTCAAGTCTGGGTCCAGGATAAATAACAAACCCTCTAAATGGGTAACAATGATTGAGATGCATTGTAATCATAAACTGACGTGTTGAAATGAAATCCTTAAAGATAATAAAAAGAATACAGTTTACACCTAAGTATCTAAGATATGCACCACTTATTTTGGGCAGTTGCTAATAATGCAAGTTCATACTTTTTTTGTTTGTTTGTTTTTTGGTCAGTCATAGTGCTTGAACTCTGGGCCTGGGCCCTGTACCGCTTGAGCCATAGCACCATTTCCGGTTTTCTGATGGTTAATTGGAGATAAGAGTCTCACTGACTTTCCTGCCCGTGCTAGTTTTGATCTGTGATCCTCAGATCTCAGCCTTCTGAGTAGCTAGGATTAATGGCATGAGTCACTAGGGCCCGGCTCACTTCAGTATTTAAGCAGATAATCCAATGTGCCTCAGGAAATATACTCTGTTTCTCTTAAGGAATGAACTCTATTCTGGTGTATGTCGGCCATGAGGTGTTTGCGAATTATTTTCCTTTTCGGTGGAAGCTAGAGGACAAGGAGTCACACAAAGAGCATCTGACTCAGAACATAGTTGCCACTGCTCTCTGGGTGCTCATTGCCTACATTCTCTATAAAAAGAAGATATTTTGGAAAATCTGATAGTGACTGCTGAAGTATTGATACATCCCTTCAGAAAATCATCAGTGTTAATGTCAACAATGTGGAAACCTATATTTCCAGATTATTGTGGAAGATGCTGATGTTCTCAAGCCATTTTATTATTATATATGTTCTGCCTGTGTATTTGTGACTTAAACATTGGGAATGTTAAGATCTTTTTTTTTCTCCATCTTACATGAAATAAATACATTTGGAACTTCATTCTATGGAAATCTTTACTTTGAAAAATTGGCTTATATTAGTTTTAGGGGGGATTTCATTGTTCTATCTCCACACAGTGTGAACATTACACTGTATTCCAATCAGTCTCACACTTCTGTAATAGATAACAATCTAAGGTCTGTGGGCTGGGTTGTCTGGCTTATTGGTAGAGCACATGTCTAGTATTAGTGATATTTTGGATTTAATCCCAAGCACAAGAAAACCTCAACAAACCCCTCAAATAATATGAAGTCTACTTCTTATTTTCTGCAACTTGCCTTCCCATATGAACATTCATGACAACAAAGAAAAATACTATGATTTCATGTGGCAAACAAGCTTTGTGTCATAATATTGTCTAATTTTTTTTCTTTTTTTCTTTTTTGGTCATGGGGCTTGAACTCTGGGCCTGAGCGCTGTCCCTCAGCTCTAGGCTAGCGCTCAACCACTTGAGCTACAGCGCCACTTCGGTTTAAGAGTTTCACAGACTTTTCTGCCCTGGCTGGCTTTGAACTGAGATCCTCAGCTCTCAGCCTCCTGAGTAGCTAGGATTATAGGTGTGAGCCACCACCACCCAGCATTGTCTAATTTTTGACTAAGTACAATTTAATGTTTTTAAGAAAGCCAGAGCAATTTTATTTTCAGATTGTAAGGCTCTGATGAATCAAAAAAGTCTATCAGATATTTTCTCCTTTTGTACACTTGAAAAAACTTGATATATCTTTTATTGCCACCTACTCTTGCTTAGTTATCTCCCTCCGTTGATCTGTCCATCTGTCTGCGTCCATCCATCTGTCCGTCTGTCAGTCCATCTATGTGTCCGACTGTCCCTCCATGTCTGTTTTTCCCTCCATCTGTCTAACCAACTCCCTGTCTATCTGTCCACCTGTCAGTCCATCCATCTGTCTGTCCTTCTGTGTCTATCCATCTGTCCCTCTGCCCATCTATCTGCCATCTGCTCGTTGTCTGTTTGTCCCTCCATCCGTCTACCTGGCCATCTGTCCAACTGTGTCTGTCTGTCCATCTGTCTGTCTTTCCATCTGGCCCTCTATCCATCCATCTCTATTTCTGTCCATCTGCCCATCTGCATCTGTCTGTCCATCCACAGAAGTGGAGAAGAATGAACAAATGCATCATGATACTCAGAAGACACTGTGGAAAATGAACTATGCAACTTCTGGGCAGGAACAAGAGGGAGAGAACTAAGGGAAAGCAAAGGAAGGGGTAACATTGTCCAGAAAGTAATGTAGTCATTACCTGACTTATGAAACAGTAATTGCTTTGTACAACACCTTAAGAGGAATAATTTTCTTTTGAAAGAGTCAAAGGAGGATTTAGTTGTAAACGGACTAGAGAACCAAAGCCTACTTGAATTTAAACACAAAATGCCCACTGGTCCCCTCAATTATTTTTCTGACTAAAATTCATAACTATACAATTAGAAGAGGCAATAAATCATAAGGTAAGCATATTGGAAGGTGTGCTAGTATTAAAGTGTAGCTTACTCCAAGTGAACTACTTAATGCCTGGAAGACTTTATATAAATTTGATTGCATTAAAACAATCCAAACATCTAACGATCTTTATTTTTCCTGTAGCTTGTGGGAACTTGGGGCCTAAGTGCCAGTGAATCTGGGGACCCCTGGTCCCCGCTAAATTTCTCTTTCTTTACACCTGTCTCTGGATTTTCTAATTTTCTCTGTCTCTCTATTCTGTCATGCAGCCTCAGGTGGCAGTTAGCAACAGCCAATTGAACCAAAACACAGGTTCCACTCTAGTGGGCCAGTAAGGTCCTCAGCTGCCCTCCCCCCCCACCCCCCCCCCCATCCCCCCCCCCCCCCCCCCCACACACACCACCAGACATCTGCCCTGGCCATGGTAGAAGCTGACTGTTCAGGTCCTCAAAGGATTGACCCTCACTGTACCTGCACCCATTTCCCAGAAATGCCAATTGTTACTCCCACTTAGGCAAGAGGTATAGCTGCCTGGGGAGAAGGGGTGGACAGTTTTAGTTTTTTGTTGTTGTTTTTTTTTGTCTTAGATTCTTAACTGCCGGAAACAGCAATGACAGGATCTCACAAGGAGGTTTCCCAGGCAGCTTCTTCCTGCTAGACAGCACACACTCCAAGCCCATCCCAGCATAACATTTAATGGGTCAACCAAATATTTACTCCATTCTACCCAAGCACTAGCCTCTCATGTCCAGCCTCAGTTTTTACAGTCTGTCTCAAATCCTTCACCTCCACTCTGGTGACTTTAATGGGGTCATTTGAAGGAACACTGAGATTTGCCTCTGGCAGGACCTCACTGGAGGGCCAGTTGGAGCGGGAAGACTTATGAGTTGCATATTGAATGTGCCCAGGGGTTCAGTTCCTGAGACTAAGACCAGGCATCAGAGCCAAGGATGGTCCTTAGCAAACTACCTTGTACAGGAATCAGTGCCACCCTTCTTGCAGGCTTTTGGGCTGGGGTGCGGGACTATGGTTCATTGTTCCCTCCCATAGGAAGCCCAACAACCTTGACTCAGGTGTAATAATTCCCCTTGGTCTGCTTGAGCAGCTGTCTCAGCTGTGAGGACTTCTCACATGAGACTGGATTTCTCTTCCTTCCAGACTTTTATTGGGACATGAGTCTTCAGCTGGTGAGGAGAGGGAGCTGGAAAGCTCAAGAAGAGTTTGAGCCCAAAGTTTTCGCAACCCAAAAGAAGGTAAAGTAGAGGAGACCCGCACACAGTCCTTCAGGCCCTCTTCCAGAGCTTAAATGAGTGACATGTGGACAATAGCTAGCGCTTTGCTATTGGTGAAACTCTTGTTAATCGTTGATAGGTTTGTGCTGAACGATTATTGAGTAGTCAGCCCAAATCAACTAGGTAGGTGGTTCTCATCTATTAGATTGCCTTGTTTTTAAATACTCAGAAAGACAAGCAATCTTCAACTATTTTTTAAAATCCATACACTGTAATTAACCGAATTTCAAGATTTGTTGCCATTTGACTTTAAAACACACTTTCTTAATTCCTGAGTGCTTGTACTAGATAAGACTGAAATAACATCTTTATAGTGATAACTGTATTAAAAACAACAGACTAGGGGCTGGGAAGGTGGCTCAGTGGTAGAGCGCTTGCCTTGCATGCATGAGGCCCTGGGTTTGATTCCTCAGCACCACATAAGCAAAACGAAAAAAGCCGGAAGTGTCGCTGTGTCCCAAGTGGTAGAGCGCTAGCCTTGAGCTGAAGAGCTGAGGGACAGCGCCCAGGCCCAGAGTTCAGGCCCCACAACTGGACCCAAACAACAACAACAACAACAACAAAAAACAACCCCCCCAAAACAGACTATTATGAAAATGCCTACACACACGTACGTGCCCAGGAAAAGGTTTTAATTTAGACACCAGTCATTATGTAGACTCACAGACTCACACCTCCCATGTGGGCACCGCGCCTTCCCGCGACCCCCCCCCTCCACATGGACGCCGCGCCTTCCCGCGACCCCCCCCCTCCACATGGACGCCGCGCCTTCCCGCGATCCCCCCTCCACATGGACGCCGCGCCTTCCCGCGACCCCCCCCCTCCACATGGACGCCGCGCCTTCCCGCGACCCCCCCCCTCCACATGGACGCCGCGCCTTCCCGCGACCCCCCCCCTCCACATGGACGCCGCGCCTTCCCGCGACCCCCCCCCTCCACATGGACGCCGCGCCTTCCCGCGACCCCCCCCCTCCACATGGACGCCGCGCCTTCCCGCGACCCCCCCCCTCCCCCAAGGACGCCGCGCCTTCCCGCGACCCCCCCCCTCCACATGGACGCCGCGCCTTCCCGCGACCCCCCCCCTCCGCCCCGCCACGGGCAGCAAGCCACTCCAGGAGTCAGGGTCCCCAAGAAACGGGGCTCTAAGCACACCTGGCAGCCATCTGCTGAGCATGCTGACACAGGCCGATCCGCAGCTGTCGTGCCCACACCCAAGGGCCACACACTGACCTCCCCAGCGTGGCCCAGACCCCACTCACTCCAGGCTCGAGGTAGGCACTGCCGGCTTGTTCTAAATGTTCGTCTGTAGGTCTGTATGTAGGATCATACTCAGCACATCAAACTGAGTGACTGTGCAAAAGCTTCACTAGCCAGCATCTGCCTTTTACAATTTAGAAGCAGATGTTTCCAAATCAGCGGCAGTAGTGCTACCGGGTAAAGGAATCCTGAGAGCTTCTTCTGAAGGTTTGCAGCCAGTCAGCTCTTCATTTCAAATTGCTCAACCCCTCAAACTGAGTTGCTTTGCGGCAATTCAAGCTGGGATCAGTAACCTTGTATTGAGAAGCAAATATTTACAGGGAGCTTCCATTGGCGTCCTGGGTCAAAGGAACAGGATTTTTTTTACCCCCAAGAAGACTTGAAGCCAGTGAAATGCTCTTAGGTTGCAATGGTTCAGAACCTCAAACCAAGAGTGCAAGCAAGAGTTCGTTTGGTTAATAACTGGTCAGTAGGAAGGGGTGGATACTATAAACTTGTCTGGTCAAAGAAACCTCATGTGTTGCACTGAAATGGTCAACAGGGGGTGATGACCTCACTCCACAAAGGGAGTGACTATATGAAAGCCCCAATAGTAAACATCACTCATTTAATGTTTAGCACCCGATGTTCCCAATTGACATCCCTAGTCTTGTGGTATGAGACCTCCTGAATGCCTATTCTGGATGCTTATATCCAGTGTGGAGTGCTTAGGTTTAAATTGTTCATAACCTCAAACTGAGTTGCTTTGCCAAACTTCAAGCTTGTATCAGTAACTTTGTATTTAGAAGCAGATATTTCCAGGGAGCTTCCGTGGGCATACTGGTTCAAAGAAACAGGAAATTTTACCTAGGAAGACTTGAAGCCAGGGAAATGTTAGGTTCCCATGGCTAAGAACTTCGGAAAACCAGCGTTTGAGCAAGAGTTCATTCAGCCCATGACAAGTGTTCAGTATTTAGAGGCATATAATTTCAGTCAGCTTAATAAACTTGTCAATACTT